TTATCCATTTCTTACTCAAATACCCCAATCTTCCATTTCAAACTCTGGGAATCATGGGAATTATTTTATTTGTTATTGTTATGCTTTATTAATCAATGGTTGGTCAGCAATCAAAAACAAGTTGATTAAGCTACAAGTTGAGAGTTGTGATTCTTGCAACCTTAAATTAGTAATTTAAATTATATATGTATGCATGCTTGTTGCAATTTAAATAGGATAGGAGTTAAATGTGAGAGCTAACCATAACCTTAATTAATAGAGATCTCTTTTGTTTTAATTCAGGAGATGAAAGATGGCAGGAGCTAGTGGAGATAATAACAATGGAGGAAATGAGTTGAGTGAAGTAGTGAGGCAACTAGCTGCAGTGGCTCAACAATTGACAAGAAACTCGTCTACTAACGGGGATACTCAGGGTGAGCTATTTAAAAAGGTTGCTCAAAGCAAACCACCAACATACCTAGGGGTGTACACCGATCCAAAACCGGACTGGACCTGGACCGGACCTGTTTGGACCGGGGACCTGAATTGGGTAATTATGAGGACCGGGGACCGGACCTGAATTAACAGGTCCGGTTCCGGGCTAGACCTGAAAAATCAGGTCCGGTCCAGGTTTGGACCTGAATGGACCTGTTTTGTGATTTTTTCATTTTTTTTTTATTTTTTTTAATAAAAAACTTGTTGGACCTGCATATGGACCTGCGTATGGACCTGTTTTGTGATTTTTAGACCTGTTGCATAATTAAATAATTACATACAAACCAAAATTATTAATCACAAAAGTACAAAACTACATAAAGTCTATAAAAGTATAAAGTCCCAATTCTCAAACACCAAAAATACCAAAAAAAAAAACATAAATTCGATATGAAGTACTTTTGGCTATCTGAAACACAGGAAACACTCTCTTATTATCCTTCATGCTGCGCCTATAACACTCTGCCATCTTGGAAGCCCTTTTCTTTTCTCCAGGTTTAAGATCCCGCCTATTCGATATGAAGTACTTTTGGCTTTGAGGAAATTTTCCTGCATCATGGCCATCAAATTATAATACAGTAATACATACATGAATTCAAATTATAGACAAACTCTAATGAGGAATGACTAGTTTGTATTACCTTCACTTGAGCTTCCTCTTCTCTCCCTCTTTTCTTTCGTTATTACATGACTTACATCCTCAGTCTCTTCTTCGTCTTCCTTCCACAAAGAATAATCCTCTGATGATGAGTCACAAATCTCAATTTCTTCTTTAGCCACACTACCATGGTTGATGTGGAGATTACTTGTACAAGAGAATCTTCTTGAGATTGAATTGGAATTAATGGAAAAGTGACAACCCTCTTTCTCGCAACCACTCTTGTCAAACACTGACACCTCAAACGAGGAGTCTCCAACAAAACGGAACACTAAGAAGTCATTTGTTTCCACTCCATTGTCACGAACAAACTGTTTCCATCCATCTGTAAACACCAATGGCCTTTCATCATATGTACTCGAGAGTCTGATTTTCCATTTGTGTTTACTTGGCGCTATAAGTGTACACCACGGGGAGAGTTTCTCCTTGAAACACTCCATGAACTTCTGAGGAATATTCTGCAAGAAATGTTCACCAAAAAATTCAATCAAGTGAGCTAATATATATTAATAATATAAGTGCAGTTGCTTTCATAACATATTTTCCTACCATTTGGTGCTCAAAATCGCCATACATGACCTTGAAGAATTGGTGTTTTGTTGCAGGAAGTTCAAACCAATAATTATAATTCTCCGCAATTTTACAGCCTTCGCATTTCTTCCCCATAACTGCAGTGATAAATTTAGGTGACACCGAACATAGAAATAACATAGAAATTCAGACATTATTCATGTTCCCATATTATATGTCAGAATTTACTCAAACTCCTGAAGAATTGGTGCTAAATTGTAAGGAATTCAGACCAATATTTATAGATCTGCTATTTCTCAACCAGTGCATTTTTCTGCAATGATAAGTTTATGCAACAACGCTTATATAATGACTAATAACATAGAATTTATGCATCCGAATGCATAAAATCAACTATTCAATTTGAAGCCATGCCAAAGGTCAATGCAAAGTACTAGATAAACACTAGACTACTAGATGTTTACAATCTAATCACTACTTTCTCTGCTCTTCTGATTTTATTAAACCCTAAAACCCTAAACTTTAAACTAAAAAAAACCAAAAAAAAAAACATAAATTCGAAGATAAACCATACTTGTTATCAATTCTAAACATTAAACCCTAAAACCCTAAACTTTAAACTAAAAAAAAACCAAAAAAAAAAACATAAATTCGAAAGAAATTCGAAAATAAACCAAAAAAGAAAAAACATAAATTCGAAAACATTGAAGTAAAAAAAAGAAATTCAACATGCAAACATCAAATAATCATTATAAGCAATTGAAACATGAATAAACATATAAATTCTAACACTTAATTCATTATTTCGAATACAAAATACCCAAACATAATTAGATAATTTAGATTTACATTAAAAAAAAAATAACTTACCGGAGAAATGGAAAATCGCGCAGTAGCTGTCTCATGCGGTGGTCGGTGGGCGCCTGGGCTTCGCCTGAGAGAGTGAGGAAGGCAGGAGGTGTCGGCGGTGGGCGTTGCCGCGTTGGGCTGAGACTGGAGACAGTGAGCGTGACTGCGTGAGGGAGAGGGGGAGACAGCCTGTTTGTTAGGGTTAGAATGAAATGAAAGAGAACTGAAGCGTCACTCAAGCAGCAGCGTTATTTTGATTTTTGAATTTTTTTTTTTTTTTTTTTTTTTTAAAATACAATTTTTCCGGGTTTCAGGTCCGGACCTGAAAACCCCGGGTTTAGACCGGGTCCGGACCGGAACCGGGAACCTTGATTTTTAAGGACCGGGACCGGACCTGAATCAACAGGTCCGGGTCAGGTCCGGTCCGGATCAGGTCGGTTCAGGTCCGGTTTCAGGTCCGGTCCAGTTTTTGTACACCCCTAAACATACCAAGGTGAACCTGACCCCACTGTGTTAGAGAATTGGTTAAGGAAGTTTGAAAAATTATTCGAGACGGTAGGATGCCCAGAAGCCTCGAAAGTTGGTTGTGCTACTTACTATCTGAGGGGTGAAGCTGACCTTTGGTGGCGGCAAAATGAAGCTACCATTAAGGCACTACCTAGTTTCAACTGGACTATGTTTCAGGAGAAGATTAAGGATACGTTCTACCCTAGTTTCCTACAGAAACAAAAAACTAAAGAGTTTTGTAACTTAGCAATGGGAGAGATGTCAATGACTAAGTACTATATAAAGTTCATTGAGTTATCGAGGTTTGCTAAGGTATCTGTTGCTATTGAAAAAGCAAAAGCTAGAAAGTTCGAGAGTGTATTGACAACTGATCTTCAACTTAAGTTGTGTGGACAAGTGTTTGATACTTTGGATGAGGTCTATGGAAGGTCTGCACACCTCTACGCTTTAGAGTTGAAGAAAAAGAAGGAGTTAGTTGAGAAGAAGGGAAGGACAAGAGAAAGGAGATAGGACAGGACTTTGGAAATCATTAAGGTAACCAGAACAACTTTAAGAAGCAGAAGTACAACCACAATAACAGTAATAACTTCCACCACAACAATAACTTCTACAACAACAACTGTTAGGGTGGAAGAAACTTTAATGGAGTAGCTAAGAACTTTAACCAGGGAAGCAATAGAGCACAGAGGCGTTATTTCTATAAAAGATGTAAGAATGATCACCTTGGTAAAGACTGTGAGGGTAATTTGGTTATTTGTCGTGCTTGCAACAAGTTAAGCCATAGAGAATATGAGTGTTTCTCTAAGGATATTAACCAAAACAAACAAGGAAACAACTAAGGGGGCGCTTGGATTGGGAGTATTAAATTAAGGGGTAATAAAAGTCAAACTAAGCAAAATTAAAGTAAACATAGGAGAAGGGGAGCTAGTGATGATGTGATTATAAGAAGATTTATGTTGTGATGGTGTGTTGATAGGTGAAGAAAGGGAACTATTAATAGGTTACACTAGGGGGAGGGTGGGTAACCTATTACCCTCATTTTGAGGGTAAAATTTCCTCCACCCTTCTCTTTTCCTTATGTCACTACAACCTTAATTCATTCATAAACACCTTGTCTCCCTACAAGAATACCTCTAATCAACTATAATTTACCTAGTTTGACTTTTATTACCCCCTTAATTTATCACCCCCATTCCAAGCGCCTCCTAAGAGGTAATATAATAGTACTGAACATTCTCAGTCGTACTATGTGTTTCGGGGTTTTCTGATGTCCTGCGGGAGAGTTACAATTCCGAGACTGGAACCGGACGCCTGTACCTGCAAAATAACGGAGACTCCTGTGAGCTCCGCCTCCAACGGTCAAGTTAGTACCTGATTAAGGAGTAATTAATGCGGAAATTAAAGTAATAAGGTCTCTCTAGGTGAGAGTGTTTAATGTAGGTAATCTGCTTTGTTAGCGAGATCAGCCGGTTATTAGTGTGTTCCGTAATGTTTCTGTTCTGTTCTCCCCCTTAATGAGGATTAAGGGAGGTATTTATAACCTTGGGAAACGTGCCCATCCTAGGTTTAGGTAAACCTAGGGCCGATTGGGCTTCCCTCGGAAGTTGGGCCTGAGTGGCCGGTTTCTCCATTAGGCATGGAGTATGCCACATGTCGTGACATAACAGGTCCAAGGTGGACAAATAAGCGCGTGCCACGTGGCAAGCCCTGACAGTTCCAACTAGGGGACACTTGGCAGGTCCTGATTGGCCCACGTGGCGCATTCCGATTGGTAGGAGCAAAATCCCCTAATTACTATGTATGCTTCCAGTATAAAAGACTCTTAGTAGTAGTTAAAAAAATTCTAAGTAGTACTATTAGAACTTTCAGTAGTATAAAAGGTTGTTATGCAATTTTGCTTGTATCTAACAGTAATGTATTAGGACTCCCTCCTCTAAGCTAACCAAAGTTTTGACATTTTAAAAGGTAAAAAAAAAGAAAAAATGCTGCCAAAAAACGCAAGAAATATTTCCCAATCGAAACCATATATCATCATCATCTTGGGACACAGAAAGAAAGAAGGGGTTTTGGTTTTACAGAGTAGCAGAGAGGCCAATTTGATCTTGATCAACAATGGAGCAATGGGACACTACCACCAAATCAACCCTCACTAAAATCCCACTTCTCACCACTAAAGCCGGTCCTCGCGACGGCGCTGCTTGGACCCAGCGTCTTAAGGAGGAATACAAGGCGTTGATCGCCTACACTTCCATGAACAAAGCCAATGACAACGACTGGTTTCGAATTTCTGCCGCTAATCCTGAAGGCACTCGTTGGGTTGGCAAGTGTTGGTATGTCCACAATCTTCTCAAGTTTGAATTTGATCTTCAATTCGATATTCCTGTCACTTACCCTGCTACTGCTCCTGAGCTTGAACTTCCTGAACTCGATGGCAAGACTCACAAGGTTAGATTTTGTTGTCTACCCTTTTTTTTTTTATTTGGTGCGAATTGATTTGGGTATGTGTTGGATTTGGGTTTTTCATTTTGATCATGTTCAATTTTGTTTGTGAATTGATGGGTGTTTGTTGGATTTTTGGATTTGATTGTGAACATTTTAAATTTGGGTTTTTTTTTTTTTTTAATTTTGATCATGTTTTATTTTTGGGATTTTCTCTCCTTCCTTTTCGTTTTTGTTGTTTTGATGGGTGTTTGATGGATTGTTAAGTAATTGATTGTGAACATTTTAATATTTAGGCTCTTGTCCCCTTTGTTATTGTTTTGATGGGTGTTGAATTGCTGAATCTTGTAGATGTATAGAGGAGGGAAGATTTGCTTGACTGTGCATTTCAAGCCGCTTTGGGCCAAAAATTGGTACATTTATCTACTCTAATCTTCTTAGCTGTTTGTGTTTTGTTTGTGATTTCTAATTTACCTTTATGTTGAGTTAGAAACTGAATTAACTGCTTGCATTTTGATTATATCCTTTTTGTATCCCAGTCGGTTGGAATCATACTACTTTTGTGTAGAAACTTGCAATTGGTTTACTCAATTGGCTGAATAATCAGTTTGATGACATTAACTATGATGGATACTTCATTCGTTTAGTTAGCTTAATAGAATTTTAGTTGATGTGGACTAGGGCTGGAGCATTGTATTTTGGTTCATATTTTTTATGGGGTTAAATTGAATGTGGAAATTACTTCAAAGCTACAATCGCTTTTTGTATTTATATATTCTCATTACTCATAATTGATTAGCCTTCTTAACCTCTAAATGGCCCGTTTTACAATCACCTGTTACATGGCTTTCTTAGTTCTAAGGAAGATCTATGTTGTGTACATGTTTAATTATTTTAAGTACTATGAATGTGATTGTACAAAGCTTGATGATTTAAATTTCTTTTTTTCTGAGGAAAAGCTTCATGATTTGAATTTTTTTTTTTTTTTTTTTTTTTTGAAATAGTGAATGGCATATTCTTTGACCATACCTTAACTGATGGGTATATCACCTTTGGGTTAGATTGTTGCTTATTGCTTAGCATGGTTTGTTCTTCGATACTTCAAATGTTCAATCCCTTTATATATATGTCTCTTTCCAAATACATTTGAAAGACAATCTTCCTGTATTGCCATGCTGTCTTTTGATTATTTAGAAGGAAGGATGTTAGAGGAAAGAAATACGAAGTAATAAAAGAATAAAAGGACCATGAGAGGAGAGAGATATATAATAAAAAAGTATATAGGATTTCCAAAGTTTCAAAGTGTTACACTTAAAATCAATTGTTGATTTAATTAAAAAAACAGAGGGAGTATAAAAACTTTTGTCTCAAAAGCCTTTAAACTTCCATCTTTGCTCTAAACTTGCTTAGAAATAACTTGTTATGCCCTACTTTTGCACTGTTTAACTTGACTTTGTGCTAAATGTGCATAAATAAATGATGAAATAAACATAAATTTGAACGAAAAAGACAAAATCTGCTCAATTACAACCCTCCTTATAAATAAAGTTACATCCCTGTAACTTACCTCACTAAATGGCTCATGATAATTCTTTCTCATGCCATCTTTGGCCTCGTAAGAGGCGTTTGCGAACAATTGGTTTAACCATAAAACTAGCAATGTTCACAAGTCCTTATTGTGAGTACTAGGAACCTTTTAGGTTGCAATTGAGATTTATTATGAATATACTTTTTAAGTTGTGAGATATGAAATACTTCATTAACTGACTTAAATTTATAGGTAATGCTAGTTTGCCTAGTATCTTTAAAATCTCATAATGACCTATAAACTCCGGGCTTAATTTTCTATCTTCTCCAAACTTCATTACTTCATTCATGGGCAAAACATTAATAAAACTTTGTCATTGACTGGTACAAGTCCTCTTCGTCTCTATGTTTCAAGTTTGCATAACTCTTTTGTTGATGTGGAGAAGATTAAATCTTATCCTCCCAAAGCTTATTAATGTTTTCTAAGATTAATTTAGGGCCATTATACATTTTCACTAGTATCTAATCAACATAAAGGTATATGACACTAACATTTATTTAAGGCTTTTAACGGGTACCATGCCAATACTTGCATGTTTGATATGTCAATAACTCAGTGAAATCAAGGGAATCTTCCCATGATCCTTGTACACAATCTCTTAACATGTCTTATAAAATCTATATAGTATGCTCAACATGATAATTTTTCGTAGGACAAAATACAATAGTCATCTACAATTTGGTTCCCATTGCTCTTTCCAAAAAATTTCAAAAGTTTGAAATGAATCTCGAATCAATATTAGACACAATACTTTATGGAATGAATCTCGAATCAAAGATTAGACACAAAACTTTATGGAACACCATGAAGCATCATCTCATTTTCGTCATAGACCTATGTTAATTGTTCCATCCTTTTGAATATTTCTTAGGATATACATCGTAATTTTGGTTACTATATCAACTATAGCCCAAATGTGATAATTTCCATTCTTAATTCTTGGTAATCATATCACAAAATCGTTTTTCGTTCATGTAGGAGGAAGATTTTTGTGGATGACTATAAGGAATAATCACTTTTGGTTCATTTAGTCGACACCACTTATGAGATTAAGGCTTTGATTGATTAATTGATTGACATCACATAATCCATTTATATAGAATGTCATTTCCACTTGAATATATCGAATGGTTGCACTTTTCTTTGTGGTCTCTTGTACTCACTCTTTATCACCTTCTGACGTGTAAGACACTTTGACACCAACAGTATCATGCTTTATTTTTGGCCACCAACCACCTTTTTTAGATCTTTATATTGCATGTCATTATCTGGCCTTTCTCTATCACTCTTTGTATTTAGTTATCACTTTTTTTAAAAAAAATTCTTGTACCTCAAAACTTTTATCTTCGTGAATCTTGAGGTTCATATATGCCCCCAAAATAACCCTAGTAGAGTTAGTCAATACCCTTAGTGCTGTAGATTAAAGGAGATCAATGAGGGAGGAAGAAAATGGATAAAAATAATCGAGAGGCCTTTACTAGCTAAATCTTCATTTTCAAAAGGGAAAGGTAGTAAAGTAAAATGCGATAATTGTCAAAAGATCAGTCATGTGGAAAAAAATTGTTGGCATATGGGAAAGGCAAAATCGGCATAATGCTTCAAATGTAAAAAATTTAGGCATATGGCTAGGAATTGTAGGTTTCATGCTGATAAGAAAGAATCTATGGCACAAGTGAAGTGACCGTGGAAGAAAATTTGTTCTAGAATGGCGGGTGATTATGTGCACCATGGAGATAAGTGCTCTAATGTCCGAAGAGTATGTTGGTGAGACGTGCATCACAAAGTTGAGGAGATGTGCTTCAATACTATTGAATTTCGAAGCAAGGGAGTGTGATGAAGATAGTTGTGCTTCAAAGTAGCTTAGTATGTTAGCTTAATTCTAGGAATAGTTGTTGGCTTAGTCAAATTAGTTTGTTTTCAATTAAGATTGTAGGGCACTTATTGAGGCATGTGGTAAGCCACCCTCTAAGCACAACTCTACTCTAGGATTAAGTTGCCTTATTTCAGGAATATTTGATCATCTTGTAGCCTATTTAAGAGACACTTTTAATTCATGAATATGAGAATGTTGTAGTAGCTGTTTAATTCCAACGTCAACTATACTTGTTTTTCTTTCTTATTCTCAAACACTATCCACCACTTTTACTACTTCCAAGTTGAACCACTCAAAATCCTTGTAGTGTTTATCACTAATCACTATGTTCTTTGCCTTGTGGGTGATCTTTCGACTATGCACATCGTTAACTACACTTGCCTTACCCTCGTGGTATTAGTTATCCAAATCAATTCCTTTATCAACTATATTCAAATCCTTTTGAGTAAATATTATACTTTAATTATAAATCTTTCAAAGTCCGTTCTTAAATATAATGGCAAAGTATTTTCAAAGCAAATACGATGATAACTAACTTCAAATCATGAATGGGATAATTTACCTCAAACGTTTCATTTGTCATGAAGTATACGCACTAACCTTTGTGGTGTGCATCAATACACAACCTAAACAATTTTTTGAAGCATCACTATATACTTTTAATCCTTCATTCCCTTTGGTTAAAGACAATACATCACGTAGTGTAGTCAATTTGTAATTTTGTATGTTAATTGTTTTCCGTCGACACAAATGTTCTCCTTTTTCAAATAGTGGTCATAGGTGCAATGCTCAAAAAATTGTCCACAAAATGTCCATAATAGCCAGCTTAGCTTTGAAATCGAACATAAAGTACATTCTTTGGTGTAGGCCATCTTTCTTATGACACTAATTTTTGCAGGTCCACAAACACACCATCTTTTGAGATAATGCAACCTAAAAATGCCACTTTTTCTAGTTACATTATTATTAAAATTCCTCTTCTATGTAATCATTCTAATCAAAGTCGAGGCCTGCATAGCCATAGTTATTATTTTCATCCAAAGCATGATCCATGTAGAATTCACAGTTTGTTTGGGTAATGTTAAGGGAGGGAAAAGAAAGGAAGGGAGGTGAAGGGGAGGGAAGGGAAAGGAAGGGGAAGGAAGAAGGATGAGTTTTCCTTTCAAATCGCTCCATTGTTGGAGGGATCATTTTCTTAGAATTTAGTCCCTCCATTTCTCTCCCCTCCAATTCCCTTCATCCCTAATTTATTATCCAAATGAAAGAAACTCCCTCCCTCCATTTCCCTTCCCTTCCTTTCCCTCCATTTCCTTTGATCCCAACACACTCTCAGTGGCAAAATTTGGCCCATCATCTTCCATGTCCTCTACTTGTTATATAGGGAGAGGGTGTAACTCATGCCTCATTTGATATAATCACGGGTCATCAATATTAGGAATATTAAGTGCAACTCTAACTTAAAAGATGTGGAGATGCTTGCATAAGCTCTCCTTCCTCTTAAGACTGGGGTAACTAATGGTTCAACTTGCTGAACAGGCTCTGGAGTAGCGTCCTCCTACACTTGTGATATAGTTGGCATCAGCCTCTTGTTGAAGCCCAAATACATATATAATTGGTGTCTTTGTGTCCTTCCCGCCTCTTGATATTGTTGAATTAATTATTTGTTAATTGTGATTTCTTTTCTCAGAATGACTTTTGTTTCTTTTGCTGGCTTCTGTATACACTTGCTGCCCTGCCTATATTATTGTGCATTGCTGGTAAAGAGGCATTTAGTGTGTGTTTATAAGAATTTGGATTGTGTAATAAGCAGGCAATAAGATACCTCCCAATTCTTTGAGATTGCAATTTGCTTTACTTGTAGCTTTGTTCATGTTTTGCTAATGGTTTACTCTGTAACAAGTAAAATAGATGCATCCCCCCAGGCTAGTATTTCATGGATGCTGCAATTACTGGTCTTCAGATGGCTTTTGTACTAAATTATTTGTTTTGAAACTCCCTCCTTTTTTTCCACTGTACATCTTTTCTACTGTCAATTTACTTTGGATTTTTGCATCTTCAGTCCTCGGTTTGGTATCGCGCATGCTCTGTGTTTGGGCCTTGCTCCATGGCTTGCTGCGGAGATTCCCATTCTTGTTGATTCAGGTATGATCAAGCACAAGGATGATGTTGCCGCCTCTTCCAGCGACAACAGTTAGCTACTCAACTCCCAACTATACAAAAGGGGTTTGGCTGATCACCATAGGTAGTGGAATGAAGAAGTATCAGGAAACTGTTTATATTTGTTTAATTTAGATAACTTTGAGGAGCTAAACTATACTTGGATTGTCACAATGCACAACCAATTTGTTGAGATTTATGCAGTTGATGCAGAGATTTAATATTTTTTTCGCTGACACAGTGACGCTGTCTGTACTGCCTCACCCCTCATGATTCACAGCTGTGAAATCTGTAATTGTGTTTTGTGTGTATGCTTCTGAAGCTTTTAAGTTATTTTCTTTTAAGTATACTATAAAGACCTTCATGGGTAAGATGGAATGGGGGACCTTTATATAGTATATCTTGGAGTGGTTTTTTTTTTGAAAGCATCTTGGAGTGGTTTAATTGTTACCAATATGATGCAAGTTACGAGTTTGTGGGTCGTCGACTGATCAAGTGGTTGTCAATCATTGACATTGGTTGTTTGGAAAGACTAGTAGTAAAGCAAGAGTTGCTGCACTTACTAAAAGTCACCTTTCTTTTTAACTAATGGGTGATGGGTTGGGGATATAATGCATAGTTTTAAATCTGGATGCTGTTGTGATTGCGGTAATGCTCCCTGAACTATTTTAGCAGGGAATTCAGGTGGTTAGCGGCTGCTCAAACCCTATTATATTGGTCATAGTTATATCAGAATATCTTAAAACTTGGTTGCTAACTTGCAAATGGGTGATGTGGCCAAGATTTATCTGAATTCTGCTTGCATACAGATCTTTTGGTTTGCTTTATAGGTATGAAGCCCCATCTTCATCCGAGTTTCTGTCTTGATGGATTATGCTTTGGTAGTTCTCTTCTCGCTGGGGAATAATGCGCTGGATGATTCATTATGTTGTGATTTCTTTTTTTTTTTTAATTCCCTCATAATCAGAGCCTTCTAGTTCTAGACCCCGATTGGTTTGAGATTTGAGGCGAGTTGGGTAATAATCAGATTTGAGGCGAGTTGGGTAATAATCTCCCAATGTGTTGCTGTGTTTCTAAGTTTGAAACCCAAGACGTAGGTTAAACTAGAACAACTTTAATCGAAGCACTTGTTGGTAAGAATGTGTGGTATAATGACTATAATCAGTTAAATTTCTAAGTTCTTGACTTCTTGTTGCTCATCACTTTGCCACTCTACTTGTCTTTATTTTATTTTTTCACGTTTTTTCCTGTCTTAGTTAATATTGTATCTTCTCTTTCGCACAAAATAATTCATTTCATTGTTACTGTTTGTCTCATACAGGAGTAATTTTTTTTAATTTCTCCACTTGGGTCCACATAATGTTTCACACCTTCACCCATATTGTTTTCACTTCCTCCTTTATCTTTTTACATCCATTTTTTCTTTACTACCTTTAACCTCACGACTACCCGTTAGACGATTAATTAGTAAGGTACTGATGAAATGAATTTTAGTGCAATTGTGCAAGTAAAATAACATCCTAGTGTCATAGTAATGCACTTTCTTCCCTAACTTGTAATTTTCTTTTTACCAATACCACTTCAAAAGTTCAAATGAAAGTGATATTTAAAAAAAAAAAATTGAAGAAAAAAGAAGAATTGGGGATTGTAATCATGGGATTGGACTTTGATTTCTCATAATTTCATTTTCACAAGGAAAATTTAAAAATTCTACCATATATTGTTCATATTTTGTACAATACCACCTCATTTTTTTTAAATTGTATATTACCACCTAGTTTTCTCAAAAATCTAATGACTCCCCTATATGACGTCACGGTGGGTCCCACTACCAATTGTTCCTCTCTTTTCCGTCGATTCTCACCTCCCTCCTTCCTTCTTCTTACTCTTTGTCTAATTTTAATATCAATTACAGATCTACTAGGCGTTATTTAGGGTTTTTATTCGCTAATTTGTTCTTCAAGCCAAATGACAATGTAAAATCGAGGATATAATTGGTTAATTAGGATGATTAGGGAAGAAGAAAGGTGATATTCGAAGGAAAATTGGTTAGTAGGATCCACCGTGACGTCATATAGGGGAGTTAAGCAAAAGTGGTGAGAGTTTTTTAGATTTTTGAGAAAAATAGGTGGTAATATACAATAAAAAAAATAAAAAATAAAATAAAAAATAAAAAAACTTAAGGTGGTATTATACAAAATATGAACAATACTGGTATTTTTCAAATTTTCCCTTTCATAATCATCTTTTCTAACTTCTTACCAAATAGGTAGCCTCATCATCTCTATCGAATTTTAAATCATTCATTGTGGGCTTCCATTAGTTCGATTTTCTCATTAAAGAATTTGTGTAGCAATGTTAAACATGTATTATTACACTTATAATATTTGTGAAAAGAAAAAGAAAAAACCACTTATATTGTAATGCTTTAAGTAAATTCTGTGATGCAGTAAAATAGTTCCAACCTTTTTTAATTTGAGTCTTTGAGATTTCATGAGATACCTCAAATATACTACGAGTATAAAATGGGTGTTAGACTTGTAGAAATCCTCTATGATCTCATTCTATGTTTTAATCTAGTATCAATAGTTGTAAATTCTTTGCTTCTAACAACTTGACTCATTAATAAATCTAATGAAATTTTTGTATGGTATTTCATAATCACTTAATCGGCTAATCCTGATATGTAAAATAAGTCAAAAATTAGGAAGAGTGAGGGGGGTGGGGGGGGGGGTGTTCATCGGATCTTCATTTCATTATTAGAAAAAAATTGATTGCACCATGCGTTTTTTGAATGTCAAACTTTATTTTTGATCATTAATTCTTACTAAGTTACTATAATATATAGAAATTAAAAAGTGAGTCAAGAGAGATTTTGTTAGAAGTGTTTCTATATTTTTTCAATGTATTAATTTTTTTATAATTTTTAACAATACACAATTAAAATAGGAAAATTTGGTTTTAATAATCCCAACTATCGCCCATTTACTTTTAATATCCCAACTTTGGGAGTCTCCTCTTTCCTAAACTCTAGCCTCCATTGTTAATTTCGAAGGTACTTCCATCGGATTTCACCGATGGAAAGCCCACAATCTTTGTTTCTTTCAAGTTTTTTCCTTGTTTATTAGGTTATATATAACAATGTCTCCCTCAAAAGAAAGGATTTATCTCCTTCGAAAGACAAGGTTTTTTCGATTTCCTTCGAAAGACAAGGTTTTTCGAACTCTTGCGAAAGACAAGTTGTTATTTGCATTTAATTTGGTCTCCAGTTGTGCGGGGCTACGATTGATTATTGCTCGGATTCGGGTTACAAAATCAGCAAAAGAATTTTCCTTTTCACAAAATTATGAAGCGGCGACGGATCCACTCAAAAAGTCGTATGAGACAACGAATCGAGAATTTGTCGAATTGTTATATTTATATATTTGGATTCTTAGCCCTTCCCTGAACAATTCTTGTTTGATTTTGTTAGATCTACTTTTATTATCGTTGATTGTCAATTGTAGATGTCGTATGGCTTTAATTAATGATATATAATGTCCTTTAGGAGTTCTTTAAAAAAAATAATAAAAATAAATAAAAAATAAATCCCAACTTTAGATTATTATTGAATAATCTCAACTTTAAGGGGTATTCGCTTTTATTGGTCCCAACAGGTCACCTAACTTGCTATAATAGGTTATTAGACATGTGCCATCACCTGATTGGTAAAAAAAATGAATAATCAAATGAATAATAAAAATAAATAGATAAATAAAAAAACAAAAAAAACCAACCCCAATTCCCAGCATACCAGGCCACCTCCGACAGGCGATAGCCCCCCACCTCCGGCAGCCCAACCCCCCGAATCCACTGCCCCTCCTCATCCAACCACCTCGGAACCGCCTCTCCTCCCCTAGACTATCACCTAACTGACTTTCTCCCCTTCCCTAGCCCTAAAACCCAATCCCTTCCCATTCCCATTCCCATTCCCAAGCCCCAAAACCCCATTCCCCCCCTCCCCCCTTTCCAAGCCCCGAAACCCTTTGAAGCTGGCATTTAAAGGCTAAGAAAGGGAGAAGGGTGGTTTTTGTGGTGGGAGAAAGGGGAAGAGGGGTGGATTTTCGTGGGTCGAGGTGTGAATCAAATCGGTTTTCATGGGTGGGGGCCGGTGGGAATCTGGTCGCCGTGGTCGGTTTCAAGGGGTGAAGGTGGGGACGTAGTGGTTGTGGGTGGTTCGGGGTTGCCGAAGGTGGGGAGGGAATGGGGTGGTGGCTGAGTTTTTTTTTTTAATATTTATTTATTTTTTAACCAATAACTTGCTTACACGTGTCCATTGAAAAAAAAAATACTTAGCAAGTTACCAGTCATTTAAAACTAGTAAAAATGAATACCTCCTAAAGTTGAAATTATTCAATAATAATCCAAAGTTAAGATTATTTAAAGCGAATAGGCGAAAGTTGGGATTATTAAAACTAATTTTTTCATTAAAATATTCATCTATAGTCAAATTAGTACATGAGAGAGACGAAGACCATGGAGATGTAAATGGTGCAACTATTTAGTAATGGGTCGGAAGAACTATAAGATAATGCAAAATTATCTTAATATAGGAAAAATGGAAATAAATAATCCCACCTTTGCGTGGTCCGACAATAACGTAACAATCCCACCTTTTGGTTATTACGAGGCAATCCCACCTTGGTATGTCATCGTTTTTTAATGGATCTTGACTTGTTGGTGACCGATTTTTGTAGGTTATATGCCACGTGTCAAATTTTAATTAGTTCATTTCATTTTTTTTAAAATAAAAAAATAAAATAAAAACTAGAAAACAAAATTATAAAAAAGAATAAAACCCCAGCCACCATCTCAGCACCGTGAAACCCTAACCCCTACCCCAGCCACCACCAAAATCGGCCTGCCGCCCTCCTTAACCTCCAAACACGGCCGGTCGACACCCACCCACCAGGGAAAGGGTGGAGTTTTCGCGGGTTTTCAGCAGTTTTTAGAGTGTTTAAGGGGGATTTTCGGGGCTGAGATGGGGATTTTCGGGATGGTTAGGGAGGTTAGGTGGGGTTTTTCGAGGCTAGGATGGAGGTTTCGGGGGTTAGAGGGGGTTTTCAGTGGCTGTAGTGGTTTTCAGGGTGGTAGCTGTGGTGGTTTTCAGGGTGGTAGATGTAGTGGTTATGGTGGTCTCGGGGGTGGGATTTGGGTAGGGGGTGATTTTGGGGGTGGGATTTGGGTAGGGGGTGATTTTGGGGGTGGCTTTTGGTATTAGGGATTCTGGCAGGCCATTTTCGGGGGTTTAGGTGGCTCTCGGCTAGTTTTTGCTGGGGCTAGGGTAAAGGTTAGGGTTTCATGGTGGGTGGTGGGTTTTTTGGTTTTTTTTATTTTTTTACCTGTTTTTGTTTTTGTTTTATTTTGATTAATTATTGAGCAACACGTGGCTTTAAAAAAAAAAATTAAAAACAAGCATTTCAACCTGTTTAACAAGTTGTAGGTAAAAAGGTCCATTAACAGAAAATGACATACCAAGGTGGGAATTGCCTCATAATAATCAAAAGGTGGGATTGTTATTGTTAGACAACGCAAATGTAAGATTATTTATTTCCATTTTTTCGTTAATATATTTAAAGCATAATTTGAATGTCTTTTTCATAGAAGTGAAAACAAATGGCATTTTCATAGGATTGCAATCATAAATCACATCTTGTATGAGTATTGAGTATGAGTAACAAGAATAGAACCACAAGTTTGGAAAAGGCCAAATCTAAAAGTGTGAGTACATTTGGCCTCCACGGTTTTTTATTAAAGTAGTGGTGAATAGAGAGTATGAATGAAATCTAAACTTGTGATTTTCCCCACTCTCTTTCTTCCTATCCTTATCTCTTTCATCTCTTTGCTTGTACTCGTATTATTAAAAAAAATACCTCATTGTTTTTTTCTTGTATCATAAAATCATAGTAATATCTTCAATTGCTATCATTAATCATATTTGGATAGACATGGAATTTTATTTACGAATCTAAACATTTTAATGAGATTTGGCAGTATATATTTGTGATCATGGTATTTTTACGTTAGCAAATCACTGTTTTATTATTATAATAATATTTCCAATTTTATGGAGCATGTATCTCTCTACGTCACTACATGAATGAACATATTAACATGTTTGATGCTGGAGTTGCATTAGCATGCATATATATTGACATGAGATATTTCTTACAAATTAAAATATACGAATACCGTATAACATGCTTTGAGATACGTGTTTATGAATTAAAAGGTTCGAATGACCGAATGCTTTGGTTGACTTTCGCATTTATTAGAAGTTAAATTAAACTAAATAATGTATTAGATTGGTGGTGTATAGTGTGCATGATACACCCGGATAAAACTGACCATTACTGTTAATTTGTGATTACTGAGTACTAAATATTGATCAAACTGACCATTAGAATCTCCTACTTTTTTTTTCTTTTAATAATGGATCATCACGATCATAGATTATCATGCAAATAGCTTCAAACATAAACATGTACTCCGTTGACCGTTGTTCATATGATAAACTATGAAGACATTTGGATGGAGAGTTACAGAAATGTATTAGTATTTTAGAAACAAAGATGATTAAATGATCTGAGATGATGAGATAAGGAGCGTTATAACTACCATTATTCCTTTCTATAATTCCTATTTGCTAGAATAATTATAATAACATGTTCAACAATTCAACTACGACAAAGTTTTGGTTGGCATGAAATTGTACTATCTAAGTCAATCATCTCTCTTTCCTGCTCTTTGCTTAGTATAAAGTGAAAAAAATTGATGATACTAAAAAAATTCAAAGTTGGAAGTCTATTTAAATACTCGTATAGAGTTTTGACTTTATATTTTACAATAATTAATGGTCAAATACTCAAAGTAATAAATTATTAGTATGGAATATTTTTAGATACGGAGTACTAAGAAATCCCTAAACAATAAATTCACATCATTTGCATCTAAAAAGTGCGTAATTTATGTTTAACTCATTACCCGGTTTTTTGTTGCATCACTTGCATGCTTCTTATTACCCCTTCTCAAATAAAAAGAAGGAAAAATTGCTAAAAATAATCCTAACTTTCATGTATTCGCTTTAAATAATCCCAATTTTAGACTATTATTAAATAATCCCAACTTTAGGGGTCATTCGCTCAAAACAATCCCATGTGACCAGTAACCTGTTTAACAGTTTTATTTTTTAAAAGTTAATTGACACGTGTCATCGCGTTAATGGCTGAAAATAAATTTAAAAAAATAAAAAACAAAAAACCCAACCCCAACCCCAAGCGCTCAACCCACGACAACCACGCAACCACCAGCGTCGGGCCTGCCACCGGCCTAGCCCAAGTCCCCGGCTTCAACCAGCTGCGGCCAGACCCCCTCCCCCACGCCGACACCGCCCTAATCGGCGCCCCTTTCCCTCAAACAACTAATCCCGCAGCCTAAACCCGCCTAAAATCCCAAAATCACCTCCCCCACCGCATAAAAACCCCCAGCGGCTGGGGGTTTTTAGGCAGTGGGGGAGGTGATTTTAGGTGGTCGTGGGTGGGATTTCGAGGGTTTAATTTTGGGCTGCGGGATTGGTGGTTTTGGGGGAAAGGGAGCTACCGGCGCGGGGGAGGGGGTTCTGGCCAGCGCGTGGTTGTGGAAGGGGGTTCCGGCCGCCGCAGCTGTTGTGGGGAAGGTGGTTTGTGGGTGGTGGGGAAGGTGGTTTGTGGGTGGGGCTGGGCAATTTTTTTTTTTTTTAAGTTTTTATTTTTTTTTTCAATTTTTGTAAGTTTTTTTTTTTAATTTTTTGTAAAATTTATCAACCAATCACATGGTGACACGTGTCACCTTAACCAATTATAACAGGTTAGTAACCGGTTAAGGACTGTTTTGAGCGAATACACCCTAAAAGTTGGAATTATTTAACAATAATCTAAAGTCGGGATTATTTAAAGCGAATACGTGAAAGTTAGGATTATTTTTAGCAATTTTTCCCAAAAAGAAAAGGTTTATCAATGATTTGTTTGAGTTCTTTCTTCTCAAATTTAGTTCTTGGGCTTTTAATGCTCAAGCAGGGTTGACAAATTGAATGGAAGAATCGAAGAAGTCCATGTAGACATGTAGTATTACAAAAGTGAAATATAAAACGTGGAGCTATTCATAGCAATTTGCACAATTTAAAAGTATTTTCTTTTGATATTAAAAAAAAAAAAAAAAAAAAACAAAAAAAAAACAAAAAAAAAACCAAAACCTCTTTTGGGTAGTGTAATACAGAGAACTCTGCCTTTATCCAAGAATAAATTCAAGGTTCTACTACATGGGATGAATTGGAAAATGGAATTTAGTATTTTCTCCATTTCTTTATAGTTGCAACACTTTTTTAAAATTAAAATGTCACAATAGTTGCAACACACTGTAAAAGAAAGTTTTTACAGTGAAAATTGTACTATTACATTTATTTAAATCTCATGGCCCATTTGATTATAGTTCTAACAACCTCTTAACCCGACCCCATTTTAAGTGTATTATATCATGTAAGCTTCACTTTTCTTTAATACTGTGATAAAGTGTGTGTTGCAACTATTAAGAACGGAGAAAGTATAATTTATTAAAATTTGGAATAAAAATTATGCTGTGTATTCCACAATCATCTTTTATAGTACAAAGTAGTATTTTTTTTTAACTTTTTATTTTTTTTTCACAATAATATACATACTTAATAATAATCCATGCAATGATAAGTCTTCCAAAAATTATAAAACGCTAATGTAGACATAGCCAAGAGCATGACCCAAACTTAAAGATGATTCATTCCAACTGAATTTGAGAGAAAGATTCTTTGAAATCATCCTACATTTGAGACAAAAGGGAAGTAGTTTTAATCTTAAACTACACTCGTTAATATTTTATTCAGCTTTCAATAAAATAGATACTTATTTTATTTTTCTTCCTTTGAGATATCCTATTTTTGTTTATCTAGGAGATTAATGGGGGTTTTCTCTTAGAAATTAGATGATGATAGAGCCAATGTAAAGATAATCAAAACCTAAAGATGACTTGCACTTGAAGGGATTTATTGATAATCCATCAATACATAACTTAAACTGAATCTCTAATGGATACACCATTCAAATTAATTCTAAAATCGAACTAATTAAACAAATACCTAAATTACAAAGACAACTCATTCCGAACCACTAAACATCATCAATCAACTAAACCCTACATTAATATGACCCAACGATTTGAACCCAACTAGAACCCTCGCTCTAATTTCAACAACAAACAAATGTCAAAGTATATCTAACACGAAGTACAAAATGGTATTTTCCAATACACACCATTCACCTTGACTCCTATTTCACCAACTATTGAACAACTTGGTCCACATTTCACATGCTTAAATGAATCTCAATGAAAAAAATTACACCCCTTTGAAACTTCCTCCTCTCCGAGTAAATAAAAGAACCCAACCAGCCAAACTTGACTTTATTAAGAGGATTGGTTGCATTGGGTAGGCGTTGGGGGGGGCCAAAAGAGCTAGTCGTGTGGATAAAACGTGTCTTCCTTCAACCAATCAAATTCCACAATTCACAATTCCCCCCCATCTCTAACCCACCCTACTATTTCTACATTACATTTTCTCTCTCCTCCATTAACGAACAACAAAACAATACCCTGTCTTCACCTCTCCACACGCCAATTTTTTCCTCTCCTAGGTCTCCCAATTTCAACCTCGCTCGAAGGTCTCCAATGGCGGTTTCCAGTGGTTTATCCACCTCTTTCGCTTTGGAGACTCTTCTTCACGCCGCATCTCCCACCGCCGCCGCCGCGTCGTCCTCGTATTCGCCGTCGTTGATCAACTTTTCCGGTCGGACTCACCGCCGTGTTCAGCGCCGATTTCCTTTGGTTAGCCCTAGATGTGAGGGTTCCTCCGATATTGCGATTACTTCTGTTGATTCTGTTCGGTCTTCTAGTATTTCTGCTCTTGAACAGCTCAAAACCTCTGCTGCTGATCGTATGTTCTTCTTCCTTCAGTCTCGATCGTGATTGGAGAATGTTGATTTTTGCTTGTAGTTGAGTTTTGATTTCATGATTTTTGTAAATTTTGCATCTCGCATTGGATTTTGTGCAAAGAGCATCATGTTCGTTTTATTTATTATGAATTTGATATTGTACTTTTAGGATTTTTTTTCCCTAAATTATTGCCTGTTTTCTGGATTTCATAGTTGGAGTACAATTGCAGTCTTTCTAATTTTGGTAATTTTTGGAAAAAATGCTAAAGAGTTGACATAATTGCTCAAAAATGCTCTTTTTTCTTCCCAGATTTGCGCCTTTTGTAATCACAATTAAAGTTCTGTCCTGCTTTTTTCAGTTAATTTCTGATTTTTTTTTAAAAAATTTGTGTTTTTTCTGGAAAATTGTTTACTTTGTACTCGTATATGTAATTTTTTTATTTATATTCTGTGAACATATGTTTGTTTTGCTCATCTGTTTTAATCTTTGCAGTGTTCTGGAAATTGATTTAGTTGATGTTTAGCTATTAGAAAGAAGAAAGTGACTGAGTTTTCTTAATTTTGATCTTCCAGGGTATACTAAGGAAAGGAGCTGCATTGTTGTTATCGGTCTCAGCATTCACACTTGTCCGGTTGAAATGCGTGAGAAGCTTGCCGTTCCAGAAGCCGAATGGCCTCGAGCAATAGAAGAATTGTGCAACTTAAACCATATTGAGGAAGCTGCCGTGCTTAGCACATGCAATAGGATGGAGATATATGTTGTTGCTTTATCACAGCATCGTGGAGTTAAGGAGGTCACAGAGTGGATGTCTAAGGTAGTTTAATTAAAGCTCAATTTTGTCAATCTCAATTCGTTTCGTGATTTTAGTTTATTGATGGCTTGGCCTGTTCTATCAAGCCTTTCCATCATTATTCGTGGTGATGTGGAAATTGGACAACATGACGAGCTATAATTTGGAGCTGTATTTTTTCTGAGTCTCTATATGTTAATATTACCATGGAACTTGTATGAGTGTCATGTCATCTTGAATGGTTATTGTAATTCTTGGTGCTGAAGATCAGTTTTCATTGGCCTGCCACTATGCCTTTAAATCAGATTAATTTTGGTGAATTATTTTCTGCTAAAGCTGCTTGATTCTAATCGTATTCTCGTCTTCTCTTACAATTTGTTGTTTCTTGTCCTGTTTTTCTGATAGTTGGGTTTCATTCATGAAACTTCTTTTAGTTGTTAGTTTTCTCTTAAAGTGTGTATAGCATTTGCATGTTGAAACATTGCTGAACTCGTTACTTATGAACCTTAGCCTTCTTGTTAGCAGACTAGTGGAGTTCCTGTATCTGAGATCTGCCAGCACAGGTTTTTGCTATACAACAGCGATGCCACCCAGCACATCTTTGAAGTATCAGCGGGGCTAGACTCTTTGGTTTTGGGCGAAGGTCAGATTCTTGCTCAAGTCAAACAGGTTGTTAAAGTTGGACAGGGAGTTGTTGGCTTTGGAAGGAACATCAGTGGTTTGTTCAAGCATGCAATTACTGTTGGGAAGAGGGTCAGGACTGAGACAAGCATAGCTGCTGGAGCTGTTTCTGTGAGCTCGGCTGCTGTTGAGTTGGCCTTGATGAAACTTCCGGAATCTTCCCATGCTAGTGCCAAAATGTTGGTGATTGGAGCTGGAAAAATGGGTAAGCTTGTGATCAAGCACTTGGTAGCAAAAGGGTGCACAAAGATGGTGGTTGTAAACCGAAGTGAGGCGAGAGTTGCTGCTATTTGTGAGGAACTGCAGGATGTGGAAATTATCTACAAACCTCTGACTGAAATGCTTGCCTGTGCTGCTGAAGCAGATGTTATTTTCACCAGCACGGCCTCAGAGAGCTTATTATTTAAAAAAGAGGATGTACAAGCTCTTCCTTTTGTAGGCTCAGAAGTGGGAGGTGTTAGGCGATTTTTTGATATTTCTGTTCCAAGGAATGTTGGTTCGTGTGTCTCAGACCTTGAAAATGCACAAGTTTACAATGTCGATGATCTCAAAGAAGTAGTGGCTGCCAACAAGGAGGACCGTTTAAGGAAAGCAATGGAAGCTCAGGCTATCATTGCAGAGGAATCCAAACAGTTTGAAGCTTGGAGGGATTCTTTGGAAACAGTCCCCACCATCAAGAAGTTGAGGGCGTATGCTGAGAGAATCAGAGTTGCAGAGCTTGAAAAATGTTTGTCCAAGATGGGTGATGATCTTCCAAAGAAAACTAGGAGAGCAGTTGATGATCTTAGTAGAGGAATTGTGAACAAGATTCTTCATGGTCCAATGCAGCACCTTCGATGTGATGGTAGTGACAGCAGAACTCTGACTGAGACTCTTGAAAATATGCATGCATTAAACAGAATGTTCAGCCTTGAGACAGAGATCTCTGTGTTGGAGCAGAAAATTAGAGCCAAGGTGGAGCAGATCCAGAAGTAACGTCTTGTGCAGAAATTTCTTCCACAATTCTTCATCCCTCATTTCTGAATAAGGGGAGAGCTTCCTCATCTTGTCAAGAGAAATATTATTATGTAAACAGGAAGGAAACCTGAAGGTTTCTTTCCATTCATTGATTTATCACTCACTTTTTTTAACATTGATGTCGGATCCCTTTCAAATTGTATGCTCTTCGTGTCCGGCCCTTTCATGATTTCATGAAATCTGAGGATGACATCTTGGTTATGCATTCAAGTAAAAACGGCTCAGTTGTAATATTGTAATTTTTGTAATTAATGTATGTATAATGATTATTTTTGGTAGTACTATAAATTTCCCAACCTTGATCTGTTGATTCTACCTAACATAGCAACATGTAGTATGCTAGTCAGGTTGCAATTACAAGAGATCTGAACTTTGTGCTTTAGACAGTTGGACATCCGTTTTTCTCTAAAATGTGCTTTAATTTCCTTTTACATTTGTGATTTAATGCTCTGTTTGTTTTTTTAGAAAACATTTTCCCCAAAAATGGTTTCCTTCATTTCTCCATTCTCCCTCTTTGTTTTATTAAGAAAAAATTGCCGGGAATAATACCTTTACTTCATCTGCCCAAATTAATCCCACCTTTCGATTATTTTTTAATAATCCGACCTTCATACCCAATCTGCTCCCAATGATCCCAAGTGACCGGTTATCGGTTAAAAAGGTAATTTTTTATTTTTATTTATTTTTATTTTTTATTTTTTTGGGTTTAAAGTACAATTATCACCATAATATGTGTCTAAAATTATAAAATAAAAAAAAAGGCAGCCAGCCAACAACCTCCTCCACAAGTGCCAGCCACCGCGTCGTTATCGTCCACCAGCCTCAGCCACCTCGTCCATCAGCCCCAACCATCAGATCGGAGCTCACGTCGTCGTCGTCGCTGTTGTGGGTGGTCTGGGCGGCCAAAATCGAGGCAGGGGAAAGTGAGGAAGGCTGAAATCGTGGCGAGGGAATGTGAGGGAGGCAGAACTCGAGGCGGGGAAAGGGAAGGGAGAACGGAATAGGGACGGGGGAAGGGGAGAGTTGTCGGAATCGGAACGGAGGAAGGGGAGGGGGCTGAGATCGGGACAGAGAAGGCGTTTTCGAGGGTTAGGGGATGGTTTTAGTGGATTTCGTGGCGGTGGGAGGGAGGTTGGTGGTTCGAGGGAGGGGGAGGGGGAGGAGAAGGGGAGGGCGTCGGTGCTGGGGTAGGGGGTCTGGGCGGTCGGCGCTGCGGGGTAGGGGAGTCCGGTAGCTGGGCCGGTGGAAACGGGCGGCGAGGAGGTGGCTTGGGCTGATTGGGGGCTTTTTCAAAACAATTCAACCAATTATTTATTTATTTATTTCTTAAAAAAAATTAAACTTTTTTAAATTTTTATTTTTTATTTGTTTTTAACCAATCACAAACCGACACGCGTCAAGTAACTAGTTATAATAAGTTAGTTGGCCGATTGAGACCATTGGAAGCGGATTAGGTATAAATGTTGGATTATTAAAAAATAATCGAAAGGTGAAATTAGTTTAGGGGGATGAGGCAAATGTCGAATTAGTCCCGACAATTTTTCCTTTTATTAAAGGATGGAAATTTCTTTTTCCTTAGGTGGAAAGTGGAATTACTTTTTAGATAAGGGAAACTATTTTCGCTATGTAAAGAAGGTATGTCATATTTTCCTCTTTACTCCTTATTCTCTATTATTTCTTCTTTACCTTATGAAAACACAAATTAAACTTATAACATTATTATTGATATTAGCTAGGTTTGGTTAAATACCTTTCTAACATATAGAAAATTTTGAATTTACCACCAAAAAAAAAATTAGAAAAAAAAACTCACTTATTTGCTTTTACCACCTCTACATTTAAAGTTTTATTTTACCACCATATAAAAAAAATTAAAGTTGGCTTTTACCACCAATCACCCCCAACTAACGGATTTCGTCCATGTATCCATTAATGGCGCCTACCATGTACATGTGTCACCATATTATTGGGTAAAAATTAAAAAAAAATACAAAAAAAAAAAAAAAAAACAACCCATCCACCAACTGGCAACACCCCCACCGCCGGATCGGCTCCTAGTCCCACCGTCGGTATCGGCCATCGACTCCCCGCCCGGCCCAAGCCAGCCCAACCCACCCCATTCGTACCCCTAGCCCCGACACCCCCCTCCCCCACCGCTTTCTGAGTCCCTTCCCTAGCCCCACCGGATTCCGACCCCCCTAACAATATCTGACCCCAAAACCATAGCCACCGAATTTCAACCACACCTAAAACCCTTTCATACTGAATTTCGACCACCCCTAAAACCCTAGCCACCACCAAATTTCGACCCCCTCCCTATCCCCCATCTAATTCTGACCCCCTCCTTAGGCTAAACCAAATTTTCGACCCCTTCCCTAGCCCTACACGAAATTTCAACCAACCTAAAATTTGTCCCCCCTCCAATTATTTCTCCATTGAGTCAGCTGGTGGTTGGTTGCACGTGCTATTGGCGGCTGGGTTTCACAGGCAAGGGTGGCGTTGATGTTACTGGGTGGTACTCATGGAGGATTATCTAGGGAGGTGAAGGAGGAAATGCCAAAAAGTGGGCTCCACTAACGCATTTAGGGACGGAATCCATTAATGGGTGGTAAAAGCTAATTTTTGGAAAATGTTTTGGTGGTAAAATAAAACATTTAAATGTGGAGGCGGTGAAAGCCAATAAATGTTGAGTATAATTAATCGGATCGTGTTGAGTATTTTCAACCTGTTTAATGTTTTCATTATAATTTCAATAAGCATTTTTAGCTTTTATTGCTTACAAAATTAACAAATTAACAATTGCAATTAGTATTCAAATTACTTAAATAAATCACAGATATTGAAGATTTGGGCATCATAATATTACAAACCACTTTAATTATTGTTCAAAGCACCATAATATTAAAAAATGCAAAAAATAAAAAAAACAGTTACATTATCTTTTTAGTTTGATCTTCCAAATGCTCAAATATCATCTACTTTAAGTGAATTCGGGTCTTACAAATAAGAAGAAAGAAGATGTAGACCAACTTCTAGAGGAGACCGATTGCTCAAGATCAAGATTAGAGAACTTGAGAGGAAGTGACGAAAGGAAGTGAGATAATAAGGGTTAGGTTTTGATTATTTGACTCATCAACGTGTCATTTTTATATTATAGCTGACCTGAGGTATTAGGTTTTTAGGTTTTTGTTTTTGTTTTTGTTTTTTGTTATTTTTTGTTGGGCCGATTTTAAATCAGGTTTCTTAGCTTGTTGGGCTTTAAATTTCATTTAAACATACCTATAAAATTTGATTTATTATTTTTAAGCGGGTAAACGGGTTTAATATGACACAAATCAAACCCACTTGATTAAGCGGGTTGGCTCGTGTCAGATTCATTTTGAATTTTCAACACCAACCCAACCCACTTAATAATCGTGTCATATCGTGTTGACCCGTTTATCTAAACTTGTCGAAAACCCTCAACATACACTAACCCATTTTTTTCATGTCTGGTTTGTATCATGTTGCTGTGTCATGTCAACTTTTGCCAGCTCTACTTTAAATACGGGTAATAGTGAAATTAATTTTTAAAAAAATAAACTTTCCAACTATAGTGTGTCGTAGTATTGTGACATTTTAATTCTAGAGAAAAAGTTGCAAATATTGAAAAACGGAGGAAATATGAATGTACTTTGTCTAAACTTATTTCATCTTAAATTATAATGACAAGCAATACAAGACTAAAAAGGAGAGTTAGTATATCCACAATAATTTAAAAAATAACATGAATTGCGCTGAAAAAGAGTAAAAAGTGAGGTGTGTTGCTGTACAAATGATCCTTGGTGCCTATTTATTAGCATTCATCTTAGCTAGCTAGTCCTTAAATTCATAAAGTTCCTAACCTCAGCTTCACTATGGAGGGTTCTACACACTAACCTCTTAGAATCTTTCAGGCATTGCATTGTTATGTACATAAATAGAACATCCTAGATACATTCTACAATGTAAAACATGACTCTTGGTTATTCTAGAATCATCCTTACTAGAATCTCCACCAAAATTAATTTCAGAGCACTCTAGAACCTTCTAAAGATCAAGCTCTGTAGACTCCTGATTGTGTCTCCCCAAAACCAAATCTAGTGATGAGTACCTTTCACGTTTTGATGGACGAGTTCAGTAAAGAGTTGAAGAGTCTCACAAAGTTTTCTTAAGCCTTGACCATATTTCTAACCTTACCTAAAATATTTTAATCCAAAATCATCCATTTCGTGTCCTTAACCTTAAATAATTCATTTCGTATCTTAAAATCATTTATTTTGTGCCCAAATTATAAAAAACGTCCAAACCTGATTATTTTGGTCCATGCTCTCAGTCGAATTATTGTTTAGTTGGATGGGGTTTGAAAAGAGCTTTCTAACAATATATTATAAGCCCAAATCCGACTTAAAACGAGTAAGTTATGGCCAAAATAATAAACAGAGCCTAGGTCCATCTTCGCTATGACCCATTGATTATATGGAGTCCAAATATTTTATTTACGCCCTATATGATCATATTCCCAATCTTAAATTAGTTAGGAACTTCTAGAATCCTCTAGAAGGTTCTAATCTACCCTTTTCTAAAAGATAAAGATTAAAGAAGTTTGAGATTGAATAAAACTTCTCATAAATAATCCTTGTTCTATTCGAATACAAAGACGTTCGGATATCTTCTGCAAACATAATTCCCTTAGAAATCAAAATCTTTACGACTTTGCTATCTTTTAGAACCAACGCGCAACGTCAGGACCATCGCATTGCGACATTCCTGACGTGGCGCGACAATATCCAACGTGGCACGACAATCCTGTTGTAATACCCCGTATTTTTGAAACGTATTTTCTAATTAATTAATTAATTAATATTTTCTAAAAAGGGTAATTTAGTAAATTATTTTACTATTTGAATTGAAATTTCTAAGCCAAAATGATATTTGAATTTTGGCGCCAAAACCATTTAAAATTTAATTATTATTTTTGGATTTTGGATAAGATTTATTATCCATTTATTTTATTTAAAAACCGGATTATATATATATATATCAAATATTTTAACTAAGCAAATTATATTTTCTTATTTATTTAATTAAGGTTGAATTTCCTAATTAATTAGCTAGGAATTTTCGGATTTTTTTAGTGAAAAAAAATCTTATTTTTCTTAGTTAATTTAAATGGTGAATAATTGGTATTTTCCTAATTAATTATTTATACAAAATATATTATTTACGTAATAGTTTTTATTCCTTAAAATCTAGCAAATATAATGCCTCAATATAAATAGGGAAGTTAGAAAATATGAGCTTAGGAAAGCTCAAATTTTCGGCCACCATATGATATCTTTGAGCAATTTATTTTGGTAATTTTTGTATTTTAATTATCTTCCTTGATTCTATTATTTTCTTAATTCTTATTTTCCATCTCCCAAATATTTGATCATCTTATTTCCTTACCTTAAACCATTCTTGATTATTCTCCAAGCAAAGCCATTTGCCAATTATTTTTCATAATTAATTATTCCTTAATCACCATAAAACTAAACTTTGCTTAATTCTTTAGCTCACCTTTCTAAGTAATTCCTTAAATCAAATTTGCCATAATTCTTCCTACATTTCCTACCATAATTCTTGCATGAGCTAGCCTATAAATTCCCCTTGAATCATAGCTAAAAACTCACACCAAAACTCTCTTATTTCTCTCTAAATTCTCTCTAATTCTCTCCTTTTTTTTCTCACTTCCTTGCGCCAACCACCACCACAAACCACCTCCCATCGTCGACTGACGCTAGTCCCCGATGCCAGCCACCCCTCCCGCCGGCAGCAGCCACTTTCCGGTGAGCTGCTGCCGCCTTGCCGTGCCTCTCCTTCCTCCTCTTCCTTGGTTTTCTCCATCTTCTTCTCTTGTCCTAATTAATTCTATTATTATTATTATTATTATTATGGGGGGTTTTATAAAAAATTATTATGAGTGTTTTTAATTAAATAAAATGATTCAAGTTTATGAAAAATAATTTTTTAGGGTTCATGTACATATAGTTGAGGGTTTTATTTTAATTGTTGCGATTATTTTTTAACCTTATATTGATTAAGGTTATATTTATTTGTAGGGTGTGTTTAACAAGAGTTCTTAAAGTTCTTTTTGTGTGCTGCTAAGCAAGGATCAATGTATGTTTAGGTGGCTAGATACCTTTGGAATTGATTGAATGAATAAGCATGTTTGTGTGATTTTAATTAAATTGATTTGAATTATGATTTATGAAATAAAGTACGCTTAAATAAATTGGTTTTAATAATTAAATTTGAAGGATTGATTATAATATCATGTTTTGAATAATTGAATTATTTATCATATTTTAAAAGGTTTGATTTTGAAAGCATGTCGAATTAAATAAAAAGGAGTTTTGAATTGTTTATTGTAAAGATTGGAATTATTGATTTAAAGAAGATTTATTGAGTTATTTATAAAAGCTTTACAAGCATGATTATTATATTAATCCCACTATGTGGATTCATTGAAGACTATGGACTTTGTATGACCTAGTCTTTCCTCAAAGACAACCTTTCAACATAAAAGTATTAGCTTGGGGGTGTGCACATTTAGAGAGGAATTGAGTTTTTGAAAAGAATTAATTTTAATAATCACTATTATTGAATTATTGAGTTATTGGAATTTATTTGAGTATCTTGAGAATTGGTTTTGAATAATGAGTTTGGAATTATTGGAATTGGTTTTAAAAGCATGTTTGCTAATAAATTGAATTTACTTATCTTGAACTTATCGTACTTAGCATATTTTGCTAATCCGTATTTCTTTTTTGTTTTGGTTCGCCTTGTTTACCTTGATGGTAAACAGTGTTGACTATTTTTAGGTGGAGTCAATAAATGAGCATTTGGGAGTCCTGGCATATTCTTCACCTAGTTTAGGAATGTTGGCCGTTAATTCTATTTTTGAGTACTCATGACATTGGTTACGATGTATATTAAGTATTAGTAAAGAAAGAGTTTGAGTTTCCGTTGCGAAGTTGTGGTCTATCTCTAAGGTATAATTGTACGTATTATACTAGTATATCCGTAGAGGGAGATTTGAGGGTGTTACAAAGTAGTATCAGTTTTCTGGTCTTAAAAAGATTAAAATGGGAAAAAAAAAATTGTTGGTAGACTTAAGAGGGCATACAGGACAGAGTTTCACATTTGTGTGTGAAAGTCAAAAGCATTATTTTTTTTAAATAAAAACTATTTTCTTATTTGGAAAGATGATTGAGAAAAGGATTCTCAAGTACGACTCTCTGTCTAGGCAAGACTCTCCTCGATGCTGTAGGTAACTTGCCTGGGAGATGCGTGCTTGACCGTCTAATATCATGATTCAAATACATTATTATTATTTTCGAAAACAAAAAGAATTGAAACAACGTGAAAGCTTGAGTTGTGTGATTATGTGTGCATTAAAGTTGGTGTTAAAACACCTTAGTCTATGGTCAAGAGGTTCGAATTTTTGAGTCATTGCCCATGGTTGGGTGATCTTGAGCTATACTTGGTTGATTGAGTTATGAATTTCTTATGCAAACGATTTTTGAATTGAATTGCTTATATGAATTGGCATTGAATTGATTGTTTTGCATGTGTATGTGAAACAGATGGAAAAGATTGATGAAATGAGAAAGAAATACTTTAACTTGCATTATTTGAAAGATGATGGAGTCAGTGTTAGTGAGTTTGTGACTTACATAGTTACTTTTTCCATATCCCTCTATGAACGATATGGATTTGAAGTGTTGACCCAACCACCTTGGATGATTTTCTTGCCCTTAGCCCATTTGCCTAGAGTTCTCAATATAAACCTATCTTTGACAAGTATAAGGATGTAATCAAGGATAATGGAATGTGGAATGAAGAACACCATCATGAAGGGAAGTGGTTAGCAACCATGTCTAGCTTCAAAAGAGACTTGCACTATGTTGAACGTGACTATGAGCCTAGGAGGAGAATTGTGAAATTTCCCAAAATTTCAAAGAATGCTACCTTGAGAAAAGATGACCAAATGTACCACTTAAATGCTCAAATACCTTTATCATACCGAAAGCGTCGTTATGAATTTGAGTCCTCCAGTGATGAGTCCATACCACCTCTTGGAAGGAGCAAGAACTACCCTCCTCCTTCACATACTCCAAGCTATGAACCTCCAAGGCGTCCAAATCCAAAATCCATTTTCATATTGCAACAAGGCCCAGAATTCGTAACTAAGAAGTTAATCAAAAGCCACCAAGTCCAGAATACCATCCATCTTCACCAAAAGTTCAACAAAAACCCAATGCTTCTTCAAAGCTAAATTGTGGTTGTGCTTGTCCACACAAAAGCCCAAATTACAGCCCAAATTCAAGTTCAAGCCATACTCCAAGTTACAGTGGATATAACCCAACTTTCACGACTAACCCAAGTGATAAGGGAAAGGCTAAGTAAGATGATCCTGACTATGATCCCGATGAGGATGACTATTCTAAGAGTGTTGCTTGAATGATTGAGCTATGCTATGTTTATTGCTTTCAATAATTGCCTAAGATGGCAAAGTTGTACTTTTAATTTGATTCTTAATGAAATGAAGTTATTTTTATTGAATTTTTCTTATGTTATTGAGTGAATTAAATGCTTATATGAGTAGAACTTGTTTCAATTTTCAATGTATGGTAATTATACCCAAGAAGTATGTCTGCAAGGATGAGAAACCAAATGGGAAGTAGGCGCACTGGTTCCAAAGTAGGGAAGATCCTTAGAAAGTTAACCCATATCACTGAAAACATCACGAAAGGGGTGAACCAAGGAAACCGTAATTCGGACATTGACTCTTATAGCGAAGTTTTTAAGAGAGTTGCTGCAGCCAAACCACCTGTTTACTTGGGGAAAGAGGACCTAGCTAGTCTTGAAAACCAAATTAGGGAGTTTGATTAGTTGTTTGATACTATCAATTGCCTGAGTAAGCTGAGAGTGAATAATGGTGTTTACTATCTGAGGGAAAAAGCTGATTTATGGTGGGCCCAAAGAAAGGATGAGTTGTTGACGAAACCAAACTTTGGGTGGGATGAGTTTAAGGAAGCCTTGAGGGAGAAGTTTTACCCTTCTTACCTGAGAAAGTAGAAGTGTATGAAGTTTACTAACCCGAGAATGGGGAACATGTCTATCAATGAGTACTATAACAAGTTCATTGAGTTGATGAGGTTTTCCCCAAAAGTAGTTCCCACTGAAACCATCAAAGCTTAGAGATTTGAGCAAGGCCTAACCTTGACCCTCCAAGGGAAACTAGGGGGAATCACTTTTGAGACCCTAGATGAAGTCTATGGACGTGCAGCCCACCTGTACAGGATCAAGGGGAGAGAGAAGGAGCATTCCGGAGAGAAAAAGAAGAACTACGTATTTTTTCATGGGGGTGAAAAGGGGCATAAGACCAATGGTAACCACCAAGGGAATTTTGGAGATAGGAGGGACAACAAAGGGAACTTTGGAAAAGGGAATGGAGGCTAGACGACCAACGCTAGAGGGAATGGAAACCAAAGGGGTGAGAAACCCTAGCAGAAGTATTTCTGCAAGCGGTGTGAGAAAGACCACCCGGGGAGGAACTGTGAGGGGAAACCGGTAACTTGTCGTTACAGTCAGAAGTAGGGGCGCCGTGAGTTTGAGTGTTTCAAGAAAGAGTCTAGTGCTCCTAGCAAACCATCTCAGCCTAGTGGATTTACACCCAAGGTTGGAACCAGTAGCGTTGCGAGAGGTTCCCCAAAGGGTTGTGTGTTCGTGATGAACAACCGTGAGGCTGAAACTTCTAATGATGTGGTTATTGGTGTTTTCCTTATATGTTCTTTGTCAGTGAAAGTTTTGTTTGATTTGAGTCCATCTCATTCTTTTATTTCTAAGAGAGTGGTTGAAAGTCTTGGGTTAGGGAGTCCTGAGTCAGTTTCTCTAGATGTGTCTATTCCGTATGGGGAAGTGAAAAATTGTTCCAAGTTGTTTAAGAGTGTACCTCTTACCATTTTTGGGTAGAGTTTTCGTCGGATTTGATCGAGTTCGATTTGAAGGATCTCGATGTGATTCTGGGTATGGATTGGTTGGGAAAGTTTGAAGCCAAGATTGACTGTGCAGCTGAAAAGGTTACTTTGAATAGCCCAAGTAAAACTAGAGTGACTTACTAAAAGGAAGGGAAGAGTTCAGGGTTGAGAATTATTTCTGCAATGCAACTACAGAAGTTTGTTAAGAAGGGTTATCCTCTGTTTATGTGTAGTGTTCAAGAAGTGGGAAGTGAGGAAGAGAAGAGTAAGGAAAGTATTCCGGTTATAGAAGAGTTTTTTGATGTATTTCCAGATGAGATTCCTGGTATGCCACCAGTGAGGGATGCGGAGTTCACTATCGACCTAGTGCCTGGTACTGAAGACTCCATATAGGATGACTCTAGCTGAGATGAAAGATTTGAAGACTCAGTTGGATGCTTTGTTGGTGAAAGGCTACATTCGACCTAGTTCCTCACCCTAGGGAGCCCTAATGTTGTTTGTAAAGAAAAAGGATGGAAGTATGAGGTTGTGTATTGATTATCGAGAATTGAATAAGGTTACGGTGAAGAATAAGTATCCATTACCAAGGATCGATGATTTGTTTGACCAGCTCAAGGGGGCTGGAGTGTTTTCGAAGATATATTTGAGGTCAGGTTATCACCAGTTGAGGATTGCGGAGCAAGATATTCCAAAGAGTGCTTTCAATACCCGTTATGGTCACTATGAGTTCACAGTTATGCCATTTGGTTTGACCAATGCACCAGTAGTGTTCATGGATTTGATGCATAAGATTTTTAGGCCATACTTGGATAAGTTTGTAGTAGTGTTCATTGATGATATTTTGATTTATTCAAGGGATAAAGATGAGCATGAGGAGCATTTGAGACAAGTACTATCATGTTTAAGAGAGCACTAGTTGTATGCTAAGTTGTCAAAGTGTGAGTTTTGGTTGGAAAAAGTGGCATTTTTGGGCCATGGGATTTCCAAGGAAGGAGTTTCAATTGATCCAAGAAAGATTCGAGTTGTCAGTGAATGGCCAACCTCAAAGAATGTGTCGGATGTGAGAAGTTTCTTGGGTTTAGCAGGCTATTACAGAAGGTTTGTGAAGGATTTTTCAAGGATTTCAAGGCCCATGACAAGTTTGATGAAAAAGGAGCATAAGTTTTCATGGACCTAAGAATGTGAAGAGACGTTTCAGACCTTGAAAGAAAGGTTAACCACACCACCTGTGTTGGCTTTGCTTGATGGAAGCAATCTATATGAGTTGTATTGTGATGCATCGATGTTTTGATTGGGGTGTGTTTTAATGCATAATCGAAGAGTGATTGCGTATGCTTTAAGGTAGTTGAAACCACATGAGGTGAATTACCCAACCTATGATTTGGAGTTAGCTGCAATAGTTTTTGCTCTGAAGATTTGGAGGCATTATTGCAACAGAAGCACCAACTTGTGCATTGACAGGAGCAACTACAGGTTAATTAGTAGGTGCACTACTAGGGGACTTCTCCTGAGAATCAGTTTGTTGAGAAAAGATTCCTAACCTGAATGTAGGAGTTCTAGATCTTTTGGCAACTGAACTTCTTAAACCATATCTGATACTTGAGTCTCCAAGTTTTTTAGACATATGTTTAGCAGCCCTAGGCACGGACGAACATTCAACATCAGCGATACCACTTGCTATGTGAACACATTCAACAGAAATCTTAGTAACATCAATGGGTTCTGATTCATTTAGATGAACAACCCTTGCATTGATTAAAGATTCAGCATGCTTGTCGTTGCGTGAAATCTATAAAAACCTATCCCAAGCTTCAATTACTGCCGGATCTTGCCAATACCGTTCATCTTGGCTAAATGAAAAGAGTAAATATGAAATGAGCAAAGTGAATATGAAATGAGCAAAGTGGATATGAAATGAGCAAAGTCATATGAAATGAGCAAATTGAACTTTATATGAGCACTGAAGTTTTTGCTCATTTGAGAAATGAGCAAAAAATTAATTGCTCATTTGACAAATATTGGTTTCCAGAAAACTCATATAAATACCTTCTTTAAATCTTGTTCAGTTTCTTCATTTTTTGTACGAATTGGATCAGATTGTTCCTAAAATCAAGCAAAAACAAAACAAAAAAAAAGAAAAAGAAAGTTAGAACAAGTTGAAAGCAAATATCCTAACAAATATAAACCAAGCTTACTTATAAGACATAACCAATTGCATAATTTGCTTATCTGTCAAATGAGCAAAAAATTATTTGCTCATTTTAAAAATGAGCAAGTAATTGCTTGCTCATTAGCAAATGAGCAAAAATTAGTTGGTCATTTCCAAAAAGAACAAAGAATATTACAATACATATGATTACCTTATTGGCACCTACTTGAGTTTCCATTTCAGAAGGAATAAAATTTTCCTAAATAAAAAACAAAAAAGTTAAAAATGTAGAATAATAAGGAAAAGAATAAAATAAAAAATTATAGTTAAATACCATTTTAGGTTGTGTCATGCTAGAAGAACCAGCATCAAGCTTAGCTTTTTAGCACAAATATTTCCAATCCCCCCGTTAAAGAGTTCCAATTTCTCATGTGTTGACAACATAGCTGTTGTCCACCCTTTCAAGATTGGAATTTCACTTGCAGCTTGAACTTCCTCAAGTACAAATTTATCAACATACAATAAATACAAACAAGTAAGAAAAAAAAATTAGTAAATTAAAAATCAACCAGTAAGTAAGAAATACTACATCAAAAATAAACAAAAATTATAGTAATACCATAAGAAACAATAAAGACCCAGGAAAAGAACGAGTTGGACGTTCTTCCCAGAAAAGCTTGCCTTTCACGAGAGAATCAAGGATATACTTTGACCAATTCAAGTCCTTGATTTTATCAACATCAGAATGAAATGTAATAATATCAGAATTACTATTCATGTTTTGTTTCCCTTACAAAAAATGAGCAAAACAAAAGAGAAATGAGCAAACAGAAATTTAAATGAGCAAAATAAAATAGAAATGAGCAAAATAAATTGAAAATGAGCAAAATAAAAATAAGAAGACTACCATCCATTAGTGTAGACACACAAAGAACTACAAAGTTCCGTTTGAACATAGCACCAGCTGACTTATGCTCCTTCAAAAACTCTTTAAGCTCCCCTATTTTGATAGAGAGTGAGTTGCTTTTGAATTGCTTTTTCCATTGCTGAATGACTTTCTTATTTCTGGGAAAATTATTTTTATCAATCTCTATGCCCCCTATTGGCAACCCAAGAACTTCATGCACATGGTCTTCAGTAATACGGAGAGGATCAGAAGCAGGAATATTTAATGAGCACGTCTTAGCATCAAAGTGCTGCACCAACCATATACCCAACTGCAAAGGCAGTTGAATCACCTTCAAAAACTCCATCGACCCCAAATCCTATAGCTCTAATTGCTTTCAACTGATTTTCTGAAAGTAAAATTGATTCCATAACTTGAACAATGGATGAGGGTGACATCTGACTATGCAATGTCCTATGAATGTGAGACTTCAAACCTTCCACTTCATTGCCTGACTTCAAACCTTGCAATTTGTTGCTGGATTTCATCTCCTCTAGCTTAATCATCTGTTTTTCTTTCTTTAATGGTTCCTTTAAAACCTTTTTTCCTTTGTCCTTAGAAACAACTGTCTTGATGCTCCTTCCCTTACGTTGAGGCTGTGTAGAACCGCCAACAACTCCTAATTGTGCTGCCCCTGCTGCATCTTGGTCACCACCAACAACGGCTGCCCCTGCTGCATCTTGGTCACCACCAACAACTCTTAATTGTGATGCCCCTACAGCATCTTGGTCACCACCAACTCCTAACTTTGCAGCCTCTGCTGCATCTTGGTCACCAACAACATTAACAGCAGAATCTCTCTCAATAGATGTCCTACTCATACAAAATGGGTATCATTGATGTCAAATGAGCAAATAGTTAGCTGCTAATTTAACAAAATGAGCAAAAACTTAGATGCTCATTTCTCAAATGAGCAAATAGTTAGTTTCTCATTTGTCAAATAAGCAAACATTAATTTAATCATTTGGGAAATGAACAATCAGTTTTTTGCCCATTTAGCAAATAAGCAAATAGTTAGTTGCTCATTTGTCAAATGAGCAAACATTTCTTTAATAATTCATTGAATCAACAAGCATTAATAAGAAAACATAAAATGAGGAAATAAGAAAACACGTACATTATCCTTTCCAAAGGTACATCCGTAGAATCTTTAGCAGATCCATAACACCGAACAATTCTACAATATAAAAAACCCGAAAAAAAATGTAAGCTAACTAAAACAAAGGAAAAATCAAATGAAGAAGCAAATTTGTAAGAGAAATAAAGAGGGGAAAGGGGGGATTCACCACATTTCAAACAAGAAGCAGAGGATCCTAAATGTGAGAAAATAGTGTAATATAATTCATTTATAGTCTATTCATAACATGAATGAAAGAGTGCTTATGTTGTCCTTTTGTTCATGTTCGAGTTTCAAAAGTAGAACACCCACCACTGGTAATGACACTGTCGAGGGACACGATAAGAGCATAGAATTATAAAGGAAAATTAATCCTATAAAATTTGGTAACAATCAAATGTGGAGAAAACACTTCATAATGCATATGCATGGAGTTTCTGAGAATATGAGGTAAAACATGGTGCCTTCAGATAAGCAAATTGAGCCAAACACCTCAAATCTATCATCCTAACACAGCTTGTTACACTGCTGCAGCAAACCAAACCAAACAAAACATCACAGAAAGTTGATAATGGCAGAAGCTATCACCCACCCCCCCCCCCCTAATCAGCCCGTTCTCCACATCCTGATCCCTGAATTTGTTCCTCTCTCTCGTTCACTTCCACTTCAAAGATACATAAATTAAATTATAGGAGCCACGAACATTGATGAGAACTCATTGAAGGGCTTATTAAAAGACATTCTAAACAAAGCATAACATGACCTCCATGTGCTATCCTTTGTTTAAATTTGAGAAGCCAGCAACAAAAGATGACAATCACAAGAGCCGCAACATCAAAAGGATCAAACAAAGGCGAACATAACATACACTATTGACAAAAGGTATGAACTTCACAGAAAATTATGACATAATATAACACAGCTTGAAAGGAGTGAACAATTCCTAAATGTAATTGACTAGTACCACAAAATACCTCAGACTCGATTAATGCCTTTGTTTAAAAATAAAAGCCCTAGTTTAACCCATAAATTTGCTAATAAGGAACTTTGACTAATAATATTTCTAATTATCAATGAGCATAAATTTTAACAAGTTGATATTTGTAAACTACACATTGAAACGATTCTAACAACGAACTACATGGCTATATCCAATCCTACTCTATATGTATACTGCACAAATGGAACTAATGGAAGTGGTGTGAATAGTGCAAAAGTCAAATTGGGGTAGTTATTTTGAAAAAATAGAGTACATTGAAAGAAGCACTGTTCATACAAACAGTCCTATTCACAAAAGCACTGTTCTGTAACCAAATTAATTGACCATTACCACAAAGGATTTCAGCAACTCACCACATACAAACATATATCTCATAATATGACCTATTATGCTAAATTTTGAAACAGAAAAGGAAATCAGTGAGATAAGCATATAGAACTAAAACCTGCTTAAAAGGACTTCACCAATCCTTCACAACCATAACAACAACGATTTACTACTAGTTCTAGAATGGATTATATCTTTGATCTTGAATTTCTTACCAACTTGCAGTATCATATTATCTATTTCCTGAGCAACAGAAACAAATGGTATATAACAAATCTCATGATTCCAGGACACCTCCACTATAAACATTCAAAATACAGGGACATATATCTAAGCTTATGAATACAATACAACAAATTAACCAATATAGCAATTCAAGAAAAAAAGCAATTAAAATAAACCTAAATCACAAACAGTAATTAATGAAACCACAACTGATCAAAAAACAAAAAGCGAACTATAAAAATCGCAGATTATAAGTATTCCAAAACCCTAATTAAATAAAATAGAACAAAATAAAAAATTACACAAAATAAAAAAAATCAATAATATAATTCTACAAATTAGACACCTAATCGTGAGAAATGTCAACAAAAATCGGCAAAAATATCTTAACAATGATAATCGAAACCATAAATCGCTGAGCATTAAAGAGCAAATTCATAAACTAAAAAAAAAAATTGAATAAATAACAACAAAGAAAGAAAACTCAAATACCTTAATTATCCAGAATCAAGGTATATGAAGATTGAAGAAGATTAAAGCAAGATCGATGCAACAATCGAAGAAGATTAAACTCAAATACGAATTCCCAGAGAGAGAATATGAAGGAGGAGAGAGAAAATGTAATGAAGAGAGAGAAAGTGAAAATGAAAAATGAGAAGATTGAGGATAGTCATTCAAGCTGTGAAATTACTCAGTTACCCTTAATTAGGCGGGTTAAATAAGAGCCATCAGATGAATCTAATTCAAGGGTCTAGATTTATTCTCACATAAGTTAGGGTTCTCACATAAGGAATGTGTTCTCACATGATCCTAGGAATGTGTTCTCACATGATCCTATATATATATATATATATATATATATATATATATATATATATATATATATATATTGAAAGAGGGTAAATATATTAATTAATTAAAGTCCATATCCGCTAGCGTTATAAAGCTATTCGAAAACGGATCAAGCCAAACATGTTCAACCTCATTAATCGGGAAAGACCTGGCGACCAAATGGGCTATAGTATTACCCCCCCTCTCTTAACATGACTACAAAATAAAAAACTCAAAGCAGAAATTAAACTACGAAGACGATTAACAAATATAAATCTATAAGAATTACCCCCACACTTCCTTGAAATTTTTTGAACAATACTCAGAGCATCACATTCTTACCAGACCCTTGTATACCCCATGCGTGAGGCCATCTCAATTCCATAACAGCATGCTGCTGCTTCCGCCACCTCAGATTCCCAACTTCCTCTCCTCCTCCTAGCTGCTGCAAACACGAGCCTTCCATTCTAATCTCTGGCAACCACACCCAATCCCACCTCTGATGTAGAGAAGAGTGCTGCATCCATATTTATTTTAAGAACACCTTTTGGTGGCCTCTTCCATGCTCCTGCTGACAAGAAGCCCTTCCTCTGCTCACCACTAAACACCCTGGCAGAGTATGTGTTATGGTCTTGGACGTATTTTACAAAGTTTGCAACTAGCTCACTCAGACCATGAGATGAGTTGCCGTAGACAACCTTGTTCCTATTTGTCCACACTGCCCATGCAATTGTTGAGAAATTGGATAACTCCTCTCGAGACACATGCTCTGTCACATTCTTAAAGATCCCCTGAAAGTCCTCCATTCCACTGTCTTGAATATACCCCCAGAAGTCACTGTTTTCCCATATACTTATAGCTGGATTACATTGGAATATATATATATATATATATATATATATATATATATATATATATATACATACATATTTATATATATATATATATATATAGCCAAAAATACACTAAGAAATCAATTAATCAAAGGACAAAGTGACCGAGAGGATATAGGGTGACAGTGTTCGTATTATTATGCTATAATAGCACATTATACGAAGTTTTATATTAATTTGTGAGAATTGTTATGTTCATGTTTATAATAATTAAGGTGGGAAATCAGGAGTCATGTAACTCATGTTTTATGGTTTACACGGAGTAAGCACTAATCCTAATTTTAGGGATTTTTTATTTATTTATTTTTTTACAAAACCCTAATTTTAGTTCGACTTTATATTGTAGCAAAATTATAGATTGGTTTTATTTAATCGATAAAATCATTTTATCTTATTTTATACTCTGTACTACTTACAAATAGAGGTTTTTTTGTTTTCTAGTTGTACTATTCGAGTGTAATAGAATTTAATTAGAATTAGTTTATTGAAAATTTGTTTAACTTTGTGGAGGCTTATGATTTTCAGTATATTTTTACATTATCAATATTCTAGCTAGTCTACGAATATAGACTATATTTGTCTATGATCAACTACGTTAACTAATAAAGGTCTGACCATTGAATTGTGAGTAGGTAATTAATCTAGACCACCCAAATCAACTTTATTTATATATTTTCATTAAGGGGTTGTTTGCTTGAATTTTTGTATGTAAGGGAATAAAATAAAATTAAATAAAATAATTTATGTTTATTTAACTACAATAATTTGAAAAGGAACCTAATTAAATTAAACTTAATTTTGGGCTATAATACTCTTTATGCTAATTTAAATTACATTTATATATTCAGGTGGCTTATAGCGACCATTTTTGTTGCCCAGTTGCCCCTTTGCAAGGGATCTATCAATAAACAAAAGGATTTACAAGGGATTTATCAATAATAATTTTGTTCTGTGTATTTTTAGTTGTTGCAATTTTATTAATTATCTTTCTTCGGTGGTTAATGTATTACAAGGGAATTTATCCCCCACGTAAATTATTTAAAAAAGCACTAGATAGGAAATTTCCATTACATATATACCTAACTGATGATAGGCAAGAGGTAATTTGTAAACAGTGATTGCCCAATATGTATTTTTGATTTTTAAGATGGAGAATTACTACGGACTCTCCCAACATGCAAGCACGCCTTCCACTCTCATTGAATTGATCAGTGGCTATCAACTGGTACTGGAGTTGCTCGATTTGTTATGTTTATTCGAGGGATAGATGGGATGATTATCATGATTTGAAATTATAATATGATTGTGATATTAAATACGACTAAATTTTAGAATTTTTGTATAATTATTCTCTTAAATTTTTTTTGTAGTCTCTTTTCTATATGCATTTATACACAAAAACTTACTTAGATACGACGATCTTATGGAAATACAATCGATTAGTTAAATAAAAAATAACTACTCGTATATCACTATATCTAAACACAAGAAAAAAGTTAGTTTATGAAAAATGAGTACAAAATCTGTTAAACTGAAATAGTTGCCAAAAAATCAATCAATTTTAATCAAATTTGGTAAATACTTCGTAGTTAAGATGTTTATAAATGGTGTTACGCATAATACAAGACAATCTTATACCCATTAATTAAAAAAAAGGGGTTTCCCAAAAGGAAACAACTGTAATTTAATCGTATGTACTTTAAATTTAGGTATTATGTTTTAAGTCAATTTTTCTCTATTTTTTAGAGTTTTATTCTTTACTTTTATATTTTCATCAATTCATATTTTATGTCTTGTAAATATAACGTTACCAGATTAATCACTACCTCTATTTTATAATCTAGTACTCTGTAGCTATAAATAAAATAGGTCATTGCTTATGCCACAACAGTACACGTGTTACTCTCTCATAAAAAATATTCTCGCCTAAATAGAAATGATAGCATCATAATTTATTTTAAAATAGGTTTAAAGTACAACTGATCAACATAGGCCCGACCCGATTTTGGGCAAGTTATGGGAATGAAATTTTGGACTGAAATCGAGTTGGGCCCACCCCAAAAATATATTTTTTTGGGGCAGGCCTTGGACATGCAGTTTACACTTTTTATATTAGTTGTTTTTTTCTTGGCTCGAGATGGCCTGAAAATTATGCTAGGGTTGTTCAAATTTTGCGGGTTTAGGCAAGCATTTTTGGCCCAAACTGACCTGATTTGATGGGCTGTTTTTTAAAGCTCATGCCCAATTTGAATCCGGCATGGCCCGTCCAATGATCACCTCTAGTTTAAAGTTGTTTTTATTTTTTTTATTTTAAATTTTTTTTTATTGTAAAGAAGTAATTATTTATTTAATCTTTATTTTATTTGGCAAAATACAAGGCTATTATTTAATTCAATATTTCAACTATTATTGTTGTTATTACTATGTACTACCTCCGTTTTTTTTTATGTGCAACTTTGGCACATAAAACGGTTCACGAGGCAAAAGATTGAAGGGCAAAGATTAAGAAAGTATAATGGTGATTAATATATTATAAGAGTATGTAATTAAGGTGGAGAGAGAATGTTTGAATAATTAATCAAACCACCCATTGCCACCACCAAGACCAACCACCACCGCCGCCGCCTTCACCACCACCACTGTCGGCTTCACCACCACCGCCACTGGCTTCACCACCACCACTACCACCCCCACAAAACCACCACCACAACCGACCCCACGAAACCACCACCACCCTCACGTCTTTCCTTCTTTTTTCCGGCAGCCCCCTCCCTAACCAAAAAACCCAGATCTAACCCAGACCACCTAGACCCACATCTAACCCAGACTACCCCACCACCTAGACCCACATCTAACCTAGACCACCCCACCACCTACGCCACCAAGACCCAACCCTAACCCAGACCACCCCACCACCCAAACCCACCTCTAACCCAGAAAATCGAAACCCAGAAAATCAAAATCAAAACCCTGAAAATCAAAATCAAAATCAAAACCCTGAAAATCAAAATCAAAGATGAAAGAGAGAAAGCCGGTGGTCATAGGGAGCAACAATTGGGCCGGAATCATCACCGGTATCCGAGAACCCACCACCGCCGGCGCCGTGAACAAACTTGCAGGCGTTACCATTCGAAAAAGGGTCGTTCAAGAGACCCAGTTTTCGTTCAAGAATTCGGGTCTTTCATTGATGGGTTCGGGTTTGGATTCGTGTTTCTGGGTTTTGTCGATGAGAGGGAGGAAACGACGGTGGCGGAAATGGTGGTGGTGGAGAGGGCGGAGATCGGCGGAGACGACGATGAAATGGGGGTTGTTGGGGAGGTCGGAGTTAGGGTTTTGAGGGAGGAAAGAGGAGTAGGTGGAAACGATGAGGGTGTTGCAGGGGTGGAAAAGGAGGTCGGGGCGGGTTGAGACGACCGAGAGGATGGTGGAGATCAGGAGGAGAGAGAAAATGGAGGTCACCGACGATGACGCCATTGAAGGAGAAGTGAAGAGAGGAGAGAGAAAATGGCAGATTTGGGGGAATTTGGGATTTCTGAGGTGATGAAGAAATTGGGAATGAATTTCTGAGGGGAGGTAGTCTTGGAGAAGGTACAATTAGGTTAATGATTTTAGATTAGATAAAAAAGTTATTGTGATTAAAATAAGATAAGGATAGCATTAAGAAAATCTGAATTTTTAAGTAAGGGTAAGTTTGTAATTTTCAGGGTTTTTATTTACCAAAAATAGAATGAAAAAGGAAAGTTGCACATAATAGTGAACGGACTAAAATGGCAAAAGTTGCACATAAAAAAAAACGGAGGTAGTATTATTTTGACAGAAATATCGCAATTATTATTATGTTTAACCTTTCTATGTTCCAAAATTTACATTGTATTATTATGTTTGATGATTGATATTATGATAGCAATTACTTACCGCACATATAAAAATTTAGTAAACATATTGTAAATAAGTTTCACAATAAATTTGTTTAAAATCGTACATCGCATAGGAGCTACTTAGTAGTCTTAATATTTTATCCCAATCACTAATCCGTATTTGA